GACTGATGTTCGCCCCGCCCTTTGCGTCTTCCATCCTCCGCAACGTGCAGGTTCATCAGCCGATCGTATCGGCACTTCTTCCGAAGAAGCAGAATCCGCCTTTCAACATGCGTCTGCCATTAGCAGCAGCAGCAGCAGCAGCAGCAGCAGGGAAAGGAGGAGTCTGCAAGAAGAGAGGAAAGCGTTGCCTATTTACGAACAAAGGGAGAGGATCTTGTATGCTGTGCAGAGGTATGGTGTGGTTGTCATTGTGGGACAGACGGGATGCGGCAAGACTACGCGTGAGTGCAAGTGTGTGTGTGTGTGTGTGTGTGGGTGTGGGTGTATGCGTGCACTCTATCACGGCAAGCTGCTATACGCTCACTCTTGCACCCACACGCCACGCAGAGATCCCTCAATATCTGCTGGAAGCAGGTTGGGCACCCACCCATCGCGCACAAAGCATCGTCTGCACTCAACCGCGTCGTCTGAGCTGCCTCTCCATCTCCATGCGCGTATCGGCCGAACAAGGGTGCATCCTAGGCTCGCAAGTGGGCTACGCTGTGCCGTTCGAGAGGCACTACGATGCTCGCACGACGCGCATCAAGTATGTGACGCATGGCACGCTGTTCAGGGAACTGATGAGCGATCCGCTCTTGAGCGCATACAGCGTCGTCATGATCGATGAGGCGCACGAGCGAAACGCTTTTAGCGATTTGCTGCTCATTCTACTCAAAAAGTGCGTTTGTGCAAGGGGGGCCTGCGTCACGTTTACCCTCCAATCCCTCAACTCACCACCCACACACCTGCACTCGCATCGCTTCAGAATACGTCGCAAAAGACCTTCGCTACGTGTCATCGTCTCTTCAGCCACCATAGACGCCCAAGCATTTCTCAACTTTTTCCTCGACAAGCCGTACACTGGCCAAGAACGGCAGGCGGGCGGAGCGCAAGCAGCAGCAGCGGCAGCGCCGACGACGACGACGACCACAGCGACATCGACGACTCAAAGGAGCAATAACGAAGAGGTCGAGGATGGCATCATTCTCTCTTTGCAAGGCCGCACATTTCCGGTAGAGATTGCGTATGCGCAAGAGGCGGTGGAGGATTACGTAAAGGCGAGCGTGGAGGCTGTGTGGCAATTGCACCTCGCTGTGAGTGTTTCCTATTCGCCTTGGCGTGTTCGTCATTTCGCAGGTCGCCTTCCAGCGGTGTCAGGCTCATCTCCCCTCCCCCTTCTTCGCATTCATGTGTTGTGCATGGATCGCGACGATGGGCGATGTTGCGAATAGGAAGCGAAAGGAGATATACTCGTATTCCTCACCGGCAAAGAAGAGATCGATGCGTGCATGCAAGCGCTAGCAGACAGGCAAATCTCGTGAGTGATTCGGCAGCAGGGGAGGGGCCGCAGAGGCATATCATCTCTATAGCCCCCTGCGCATCGTGGTCCTGCTTGCTTGCTTGCACTCTGCATTCGTAATGCACATTGCTTGCTGACGGCACTCCTGCGCGGGCCCCCTCTGACGTGGCTCAAGCTTGCCGCAGGGATCTTTGCCGCTGCACCTCCTACCCGTGCACGCTGGTCTGAGCACGCAAGAACAAATGGCCCTGTTCGATTCGACGGCACGAGGAGGTAGGAGATGCTTGGTGGCTACCAATATTGCCGAAGCTAGCGTCACGCTGCCCGGCATAAGATACGTCGTGGATTGCGGTCTGGTCAAGGTGCGTAGCGAAGAGCGTACGAGCTTGATTGCGCATCGTGCATCGTACATCAAGGCTTTTTTCAGCGCGAGCGCGCAATTGGGGGAAAGCTAACATGATGGAAGCAACGGCGCTGCTTGCGCTTGTATGACCAGATGCGTCTATTCGATCCGGAAAGCGGAACGGACAGTCTATGCATCCTTCCCATCTCTCAAGCCTCGGCCGCTCAAAGATCAGGTCGAGCCGGACGAACATCTGCGGGCAAAGCTCTACGTCTATACACGCGCTCCACCTTTCGCTCTTTGGCGCCGCACACCTCTCCCGAACTATGCCGCAGCGATTTGACGAGCGTGGTGCTGCAGCTGAAGAGTTTGGGGGTGGATGATCTGGTGAGGAAGTTCGAGTGGATTTGGCCTGCTCCGAGCACGAGATTGTTGAGCTGCGCGCTGCAGAGGTGCGCTGTGCTGGGCGCGATGGATGAGTGGGCCAGGTTGACGCCGGATGGACAGAAAATGGCCGAGTTGCCGCTCGAGCCTATCATGGGCAAATTGGTGCGTTGGTCGTCGTTCGGGCTTCTTTTTCCAGTGCGGATCTTCCGCCCCCCCGGCATGGTGTTGAAAGTCGATGCCTTTCTCCTTGCGCTTCGGCCCGCTGACCTTGATCGCCCTCGCCCTTGCGGGCGCTCGCCCTTGCACAGCTACTTCAATCTGTCCGATTCCAGTGCTCAAAGGAAATCTTGAGCGTCATAGCTATGCTCAGCGTTTCCTCTCCCTTTGTCATTCCAGACGAGAAGCGATACGCTTCCAACGATGCAGCCTACACATCCGCCCTGCTCTCTCGGGACAAGTTTACAGCAGAAGAAGGCGATCATTTGAGCCTGTTGAACGTCTACGATGCATTCGTCGATCCGCAAGTGGGCGCTTCGTCCAGAGGCTTTTGCAAGAGGAACAAGTTGGCTTTTGCCGCGTTGGCCAGGGCCGTCAGTATACGGCAACAGTTGCAGGGCTGGATGAAGCGCTTGGGATGGGAAAGGGAGGCAAGGATGGGTTGTGAGGGGGATGAAGGCAGACTGAGAAAGTGCTTGGTCAGCGCCTTGTTCGAGAATGCGGCGAGGAGGATGGAGGATGGGGAGTATAGGAGCATAAGGGCCGGTCAAGTGAGTTGCCCTTTGTTTTTTCTCACCCGGTGCCCACCCTGCTACTTGCCTTTTTCGCCCCACCTCTCAAATCATCCTGAATTTCTGACTTTTTTGTGTTTTTTTTTGTGGGACCCCTTGCAAGACTCTACACATACATCCATCTTCCGTCTTGTTTGATCGGATCCCCAAATCCAAATACGTCATCTTTCAAGAGGTGGTGCAGACGAACAAGAGGTACATGCGCGACGTGACAGTCGTGGAAGAGGTGAGTGAGAAGAAAGGTGTCTTCTTCGTCTTTTTCGCACACATCGCATTGCGCAAGAACCAAAACAAAGCCAGCGATGCGATGCTCAACGCCTTTCTCCCGCCCCGCCCGCTTCCTGCTACCTCTTTCTCCCTCTCTCCGTCGACACACAAAGGATTGGTTACCTGAACTTGCGTAAGTTTCTCTTTCCCTCCGTCCGTCTTGCACAGCGTGCGCGGTCCACGCAACGCGCTCGCGCCAGCCCCTTCGATCGCATAGCTCAGCCAGCCCCCCCATTTTTTTTTTCCCCTCCTCTCATCCCCCCAACCCCAACCAACCGCCTTTCTTCCCATCCCGACGCGGGCTGCCACGCCCCGCCCCCGCACTCCCCACAGTCCGCAATACTATTTCCACGACAAAAAAGCAGCGTTTCAGAATATGGAAATATGAAGTGAATAGTTTTTTCAACATTTTGCAGCAGCACCTGAGGAAAGCCCCTGCCTGGGACATGTGTATTTGCGCCGTGCACGTGCGCTTTGCGGAGCTTCCATTTGTGCCTCGTCATCGTCTGCCTCGAGCAGAGCCGGAACCGTTTGGACCGGGCAGAAGCGACAGGGAACACATATGGTCCGAGAGGGGTATCTGAACAGGACGTTTTGTCAAGACGAAGCGGGGGCACGGGGGGGAGGGAGGTGCGGGAAAGCACTAGCAATGGGTTGAGCGAGGGCAGCCGTGCAGGGCTCGTGTGGGGGGTTCTAGAGCTCCGCGTGCGCACGCCTCTTGCTCGCCATGCTATGACTGCGCTCCTCTGCTCTGAGCGACGTATTCTCCCTGTGAGAGTAGCCGACGCCACGTCTACGAGGAGGAAGAGCGGGCAAGACGTGTTTAGGTCCTCCGTGATACCTGCCCGTAGGAGTGGTCAGGTTGGCAGATCCTTCGCCCGCCGCTCCTACCAGCGTACCGTTGTTCAATTGGCGCGTCACGCTCGTCAAATCCAACTCTAACCAGGAAGCCGTCCAGCTTCCGATCCACGTGTTTTCGTGATTGCCCACAAAGGAGGCAGCCAGCTTTTGTTGCGCGTGCTGAGGCGCTACGTGCAGATACTGTTCGTACGGAAGGTGCGCAAGTCGAGGATCAGGGTTAGCGGTTGCGTTCCTTGTTTGGGTTTCCGGGTTGGGCCACGAGGCTGCTTACCAGGTTGACATCGAGACCGCTATGTCCAGTGGTGGACCAGCCCAGATGAGCTCTCCAGTTGACCAGACTAGCAAGGTAGATGGTCAGGGCCAACCCATCATCATCTTCCTTTGCCAACTCTAGCGCTCGAGCAGTTTCGTCTTCGTCGATGTCGGATTGACCCAGACTGGGTAGGATGGTTTGCACCATGTAATCGCGCAGCTCGCCATCCGTGCGGTTCTCGGCCTCGGCGTACTTGTAGAATTGAGCTGCTAGGTATTCGGTCGAGTGCGTGCTGTTGTTGAGCACGTCTGGGTACCTGCGCGCACATGAGATCAGCCGAGTAGAAAAGGGGGAGGGAACAAAGCTCAACAAGGGTGTTTAGGGTACGTGTGCGCGCGGGGCCCACCTCTCCACTCACCAAGCATACTCCGCCTCTTCATCTTCGGGACGTTGCAAAGCGAGCGTCAGACCTCCACACTCGTGATCCGAAGTGGAAAGCAGGACGATTTCAGGGTCATCGGAAGATTGCGAAGCGTCGTTAGCATCCACCCATTGAGATACGGCTGTCCACAATTCCTGATAAGCTAGGATATCGTGCAAATGACCGATGGGATCGTTGTTGTGACCTGCATGATCGATGCGCGCTCCTTCGATCATGATGAAAAAGGGCTCGTCTTGCTTTTTGAGCGCATTGAGAGCGGTGATGGCCATTTGAGCCAACGAGGGCTCTTGCACCGTGCTGTTCTGCGCTAGCCTGTCAATCTCGTAGCCTTTTGGCGGAGCAAAAGGCAGCGTGAGGTGGGGGTGTCAGATCGCGATAGCTTCCAGCGCAGCGCCAATCACCATCACGAGTCTTGCTCACTCATATGACTGCTTGTGAACAGTCCCAACGACGGTAGCTGCACGTCGCTTCCATTGTTCAAAGCGTCGAATTCGGCGCGAGTGGAGAGATAGCTCCAGCTTTTGAAACGGCGGGCGGGCAGACGGGGCAGAGAGAGGGGGGGCGTGATCATGGTCAGTTCGAGACTTGTCCACGTCATTCACGTCGGTCGCCCCGCAACGATCTCTCCTCGCCGCCGCACTTACCCCGCTGATGTGGCCTCGCCGATCAGATCCCGGCCATCCTTGCGCGAAGATCCGCTGGTGGTGTTTGGCAAAAAGTGTCGCCTGCCTCCGCCCCAGATCAGATCGACGCGCGCTCCCAACACGGTCCCGCCGAGCATATGCTCAGCGATTGTGTTCTCATCATCGCGATCTTTTTGACAAGGCAAGCGAGTGCAGTCGTGAGGGTGAGCGTGTAGCTCGAAATGCGGGCACGCACACGCATACACGCACACGCACACGCACACGCACACGCACACGCACACGCACACGCACACGCACACGCACACGCACACGCATACACGCACACGCCTTCACTCACCAGGCACATGAGCTGCATAGCTTGCCGGTGTTGCGTGGGTGGATCTGCTGGTGGTGACGAGGGCGGTGTTGTAGCCCTTTTGCTTTGCGGCCTCGAGCACAGTTCCGCAAGGCTTCTGATCAATGTCGACGCCAATGTACGCATTGACGCTCTTGATTCCGCAAGAGTAAGCCGTGGCGCTAGCAGCGCTATCCGTCACCAGACTGTCCGTCGATCGCGTTCGAATGGTGCCGACGATGGACTTGTCCAAGGGTAGCGTGTCATTCCACTGCAAATTGTCCCGCGCTTGAACAAAGGATCGAGCAAAGGTCTCTGATGCTGGACCGAAGCCGTCAGAGATGAGCTGAATCACGCTCTTTTGACGTCCACTGCTACTGCCATTGCCATTTGCCGGCGCTGCTGCTACTGCTGCTGCTAAAGAGGCCAGCGTGGCGAGAAGGACAAAGGAGACGGTGACGCGCATCGTTGCCACGCGATCGAGCAATGGATGATGGATGAAGGTCTCGTCTCCGAGCAGTTGGCTTGGCTGCGAGCGTGCTCTTGAGTTTTCTTAGAGAAGGAGTGAGTGATTGGAGGAGGGGCTGGGGGGGCGGCGGCGTCCGAAGAACAATGTCAATGTGAAGGGGAATGGAAGAACATGTGTGTCTGCGCTTCATTTAAGTATCTTTGCTCGCTCGCTCGCTCGTATCGCAAAGGCACCTTCGCCCTGCTGTTACCTAACCTACATACGTGATACGCCTTGCAATAAACGTCGCTTCCGCGGTGACCCCTCACGAAAGGCAATTCCGCCATGTATGGTAAACAAGCAGCCAGAGTCGGTCCAGTCAGTCCAGTCAGTCCAGTCAGTCCACTCAGTCGTGAGTGGCCAGCCTTGCCCGCCGCGCACAACAAAGCAGCACGCGCACCTTCGCTCTTGGCATCGCGCAGGAACGTGACGCTAAGCCGTGCTTTGCAAAAGTGTGAGGCAGCGCAAGAACTGCACCTGCTGTAGGTATCGGTACAGGCATCAGCTAGGCATCGAGGGGGGCACCTGCTCTGTCCCAGCAGCAGCAGCAGCAGCAGCAGCAGCCTAGCCCAGCTAGCTGTCGTCCGACACTCACACCCACACTCACAGTGACTACAGTAAAGGTGGGAACGTGCACCGGCCGGCGATCGGCCCGATCAGCAATCAAGACACGCAAACGGCAGGCGATCGTGCTGAATTGCAAATGTGAATCCTTCAACTTTGTTTGCATGGTCACTTACTTCATCTGGCTTGACCAATCAATCGTGACTGGCCAAGGGCAAGTAAGTGGGTCTGGTCTGGTCTGGTCTGGTCTGGTCTGGCGCACAACAGGCATGCAAAAGGTCCTCGATCGAGGTCCGCCTCCGCCTTTGTTGAAGCGCTCGTTCAGGGCCACGTTTGCTCGATCCGTTGCTCGATCGATCGATCGACAGCAATCAAAGCCGCGCAAGCATCGTGCATGCATGCAGCACTGTACCGGTACAGCGTTTGGTCGACCGAGCTTCCCGCCGGCTGCTTGATGAACGATCGTAGTCGCGAGGTGATCGCAGCAGGCACACGACACAGGCACGCAGGCAGGCAGGGGATGGATATGGTAAACGCAAAAAAGGATGTTGCGTGGCTTTATTGCTTGCGCGCGGGAGGGAGGCAAAGAGAAGATACCTACAGAGTACAGTAAATGCGCACGCACGGCTCTATATATGCATGCATGCCAAGACTTTGCGTGAACGTGCTTTCCATGCACCTCTCTTCGGTCCAACTCGCAACTCCGAGGCGAGAAGGATGGAGGAGAAGAGAAAAGTTGTCATTGTCAGTGATGCATCGTGAGGCGAGTGAATGGGTGCGGTGCATTGCAACGGCGAATCGATTTGATGTGTGTAGGTGTCGCAGCGATGGTCATTCAGATTGACCTCGACATGGATGGCTCTTCCTTGGGCAAACAGGAGCTCAGGCACGGCATCACGCAAGCAGGGGCTGCCCGCATGGCATGGCATGGCATGGCATGGCAAGCGCCGTCCGCTCACACGTGACTTCTCCATCCCATACTTCTGCCTCGAACCCATTCTCGCTGCGCGCTGTCATTTTACGCAGACCTGCTCTGCGCATCACCCTTGACTCGTCAGTCAGTCCGAGCAAGAGTTGCAAGCAGGCTGGTCGGGCATCCCTTTCAGCATGCAAGTCGCTCTTACAAATCACACGCTGACCAGGTCGGCAAGTCCCGAGCGCTGGACCAAAAGCCGAGTCGATTCGAGATGCCATGCCATGCCTGCTTCATTCCATTGCTTTCCCCCCCCCCCGCGCGCGTTCTGTACCGCACCCCCTGCCACCTTGGTAAACATGAGCACAAAGCGAGAAATGTCCAGCAGAAATACTCAGTCAGCAATGGTATTGGCAGAGGTCCACACCGCTTCCAGCGCTCATCCTCACCGTCGAGTGGGCCATTTGGCAGGCCGCACATGACACTCGGTAGACTAAGCAGCATAGAAGTATTTGGAGGGTGGGGAGGGGGGCAATGCGTCGCGTGGCATTTTGACACTGCGGAAGAGGGTGTAGCACATGGAGGGATGTGACGAACGTGACCACATCAAGTGGACGGAGCCAATTCGAACCACAAGCCCTCAAAAGGTCGTATGCGGGACAATATCTGTCCCTTCCACCTCAGCTCTTTGCTATCCTCTCTACTTCCAAGCACAAATCTCGCCCTCTTTTCCAAATCGTGCAACTTGACGATGGGCGCTTCGCTCTTGTACTGCACCCGGGCATCCTCTTGAGCCTCGTGCGCCGCATCAGGCGACAACTCGTACGACTCGATCGTGTCGGCGCTAAAGTTGAGTATGACCAACAACGAGCGACTCGGGACGCTCGCGCGAGTAGAGTCAGAGTCCGAGTGGGCGTTGCAAGAGTTGCGCACATAGCTCATCACTTTTTCGTCCTGCGGTTTGAGAAGGTTGAAATTGCCGTACAAGATGCAATCTTTGAACTCTCTTCTTCCTCGTAGAGCATCTCGCCAGCCGGAAAGTACGGACCACCGATCTTTCAGCTCTTCCTCCACATTCCATCCTTGCTTTGCGTCCTCTTCTTGCACCCTCATCCACGGTTCGGCTGTCGAGAAACCCGCGTGGGGTCCGGCGGTCCATTGCACCGGCGTTCGCGCATTATCGCGCGCCTGTTATTTAGCAGAGGACGGAATGAGCGCAGCGGCGGTACAAACGTCGACCGAGAGGGGGGGGGGGG